TGTAATGTAAACGTAACTCTGCTGCTAGGCCCCAGTTAAAAGGAATGGTTTCAAATGTAGGGGTTTAACATCAACCACAGCAAAGGAATACAGAGAGCAGGATGCAGAAGGTGCCCTTGCTGTTGCAGGCCAGATCCAGGCCATAGGTTGCCAACCCATGGATTAGATGATTCATTTAAAACATATTTTCTAATTTAAGACATAATTTATTTTAGAGGAGAGAGGCTCCCTTTCCATGTAATTACAGGATTGCAGTCTAAGTTTGCTAAAATAATGTCTATTTCCCAGGATTTTTTTAAGCGTATGATGATACAATGATCACAAAGAAAGGCAACCATATTCACAATTTTATGTCCCAATTTTGCCGCCATCTGATTGCCTCATGTATAGTATTATGCAAATCCAATCAAGTTCCATTAAATGCCTGGAGAGGGCATTCGGAGGTGATGTGGTTCAAAATTTGAAAAGGAGTACCACAGTTACAGTTTGGTGAGCTAGCTCACCCTATCCGTGTAGCAGAAACCCACACCTTCCGTGTCCTGTCCTAATTTGGTTTAGAGAAGACAAAAGATGTCTAGGGAGATCAAAGCCGGTTGGTCTAATGGTGGGATTTGTAATAATAACTTCTGTATTAAGGGGTAAATTTGGGCCACTCTTGTGTCCAGGCATCTTGGATGTTAAATGAATCTTGCTCAAGTTGAACTGATGTTCTTCAACCTGGTTGTCTAGGTTTTAATCTCAGATGTGGTGGGTTTAAGAGATCTTCATGTATAGGCAGCTGCAGGATATTTTTTCTTTTAGACCATCCTTTAGTTGAGTCACTTTTTCTTCTCAATGGTGGAGGATGTATGTTACTAAGAGTAGAGAGCCATTGAAGAGGGATGCCTGTAATGATTTGCATTGCTTGGTTGAGTTGTATGTCAACCTTATCAGTATGAGCACTGTTTAACCAGATTGGGGCACAGTATTCTGCGAAAGAGTACACCACTGCTAAAGCTATTGTTCTTAGTGCATCCGCATCAACTCCCCAAAAAATCCCAGTGAGTTTTTGGGGCAAATTTTTACAGGTTTTTAATTTAGCTGCTGGCATAATTAAGTGATTTTTATTGGACAGTGTTCTATCTAAGATGATTCCTAAGTATTTAGGAATACCGTTTGTGTGGGTTCATGCCGAATTATATAAGGACTGAATTAAGCACAGGCTCAGACCTGGATGTTCAATTTAAAACTTTTATTGTTTCACAAAGTCATAAACTAAGGAGGTCTGTTGGTTCACGAGGTTCCCAAATCAAGCCTTTGCTTTCTAACCCGAAGGCTAGGTGCGGCTGCCTGATTCAGTAGTCTCAGAACTGGTCAACAGCTCATTTTAAAGGAGTCCCTTATCTTTTTTAAGACAAAAGATACAAAACTGTCCCCTCCGAGTGAGGCATCTAACATAACTCTTCTATTACGTATATATGGCACCAGGTATACATATGCATTTCTAATTCTTACTCCTGTTGGTTACTAGTTACCTCATCTATATTCTACACACTCTTTATTATAATTTGTTACCAAACTTTATCAGCGTGATATATGGTTGTTTTTGTTATTGCGGTTTAGCCTTGCATTTCCGTATTTCTAAAAAAGCACTGCTTTTGCTTGCAATTTTTATCATACTGTCAGCATTCTTATTCAAGGGTCAGATGGAGAAAACCAGAATGTCAATCGCTGACTTCTCAAACTCCTTGAAGCATTCTGGGAGTTTTAGTGCGTTGTTAATTATGCTAGGCCTTGCTTAGCATGAGCACTACCTCACACCGTTATAACGTAGGAGCTGGTTTCTGAAAACAGTATTGGGTTGATAATTAGCTTATTTACTGTTTGAGTGAAATGTAGGCACTTCCCTTTTCCCAGTGTTTGGGTGCAGACACCATTGTTTCAAGTAGGTATCTAAAGTATTCAGAGCAAATGTGAGTATTATTTCTGCTCTGGAGAAACAAGATTGTTGTGTAACCAGGGCTATGTCATCAGTGTATATGAATTTTCTTGAGGAGGTGCCTGGAAGGTCATGAATGTAAAGATTAAACAGCAGAGGCACAATGACTGATCCCTGCAGGAGTTCAATGTTCAATTTATGTTGCCTACCCTTAATGTTATCAGAAAAAATCTGGAACCATCTTTTACTAAGCATGTTGTCTAATGAATTAGCAATTTTAAGATAAGATATGATGCCCAAAAACTAAGATGAGTCCTTGACTCCCTACTGTATCATACGCACCCAAGAGATGAAGACAAACAGCTACAGTTTTTAGTGACTTTTCAAACACTTTTTTGGTATTAGTAGTCAGGGCCATAATTTGATCATCACATTCTCTATTGGGTCTAAACACTGCTTGGTCAGGGGGAATATGTTCGTTTATTGTCTGAAAAATTCTATTATATAGCAGTCTTTTTACTAATTTGTAAGTCACACTTAATAAAGCTATTGGGTGCTAGTTCTCAGTTTTTTGTTGAGATCCTTACCAGGTTTTACTATTGCTATTATTTTTATCCTCTTAAAATGAAGCTGGTAATTTTCCTGATTCCAAAATACCGATTAAAAAAAACTTTGCTAGCCACTGAATAGCTTTTGGACCACAACATTTTATGAATTCTGGGAATATCTCATCCAGAAGCCGGCAGCTTTATCTTCCTTTATGGCTCTAAGGGCCTCTTGCATCTAATGTACAGTAAAAGGTTGGGAGAAGAAAGAGAATGATGCAGTGGAGTGTTTCTTTGCCTTTAAACTTGATTTCACTTGCTTTGTAAATAGCTTGTCAGGCAGAGCCTTAGACAGTGCAAGAATATGATTGACTATTGCTTCCAGTCTAATGTGGGTTTTGGGTCTTGAAGCTTCAGTGCTTGAGCCCAGTTGACATAATACAGCACAGGCTGAATGAATGAAATAAAGGTTTTCCTTTGTATGTATCCATTTTTCTCTTTGAGTCTTGTCCAGAGACTATAAGAGCATGGTGGCAGTTGTAGAATCACCGTTTTCTTTAAATTCCTTATAAAGACAATTGCTGTCTTCATTCCACCCTAGTATATACTCTTTTCTAAATTCCCTTGGGATGCGTCTCTTAGCTGCTCCTTTTATTACATCCACAAATCTCTCATAACTTTCACTTGTGGTTTTCATCCATCTTCTATTAAAGTCAGTTTGTTTAGCAAACGAGATCCAGTCAGCTTTAATAAAGTTCCATCTTGGCTTTGGAATTGATTTGATGATTGGAATTTGAATTCCAACTATATATAAAATTGGCCTAAGTTGACTGTGTGGAAAGTTGCCAAGAACTTTGTGGGGTATAGAAGGGCTGTGTTGTTGAGAGTTCTGCATCGTGAAACATAAATCAGGTGTATAGTCTTGTTGCCAGCAGGCTGAGTGGAAAGTAGCCCTGTCTTCTGCATCATAGACTAATACAAGGTCCTCTCCCTCCATCCAATCTAGAAGTACCTGGGTGGTGCTTTTCTTCTGCATATTTGGCAGGGGGGGTTAGTCCCAAACCTTGCCTTTGTAACAGAAAATTCTGGTAAGAGCTAAAAGCAGGGAAAGCACACTTCTGAAATAACTTCTTCAAACTAAAAAAAAAAAAAAAAAACCAAACCCAAATGTAAATAAAAGAAAGGTGTGGGGGAATAGGGGAGGCCACAGTATATAAAGCTCTACCACTATATTAATAAGAAGGAAGAAAAGGATTATATATGAATCTTCCCCAAATGTGTGTAGGTTGATAGAGGAAGAGTTGTTAAGTGATATTAAAAATGTTGCCAGCATGCTTAGTATGGAGGTCTGAAAAGTCTGTTGTTTACAAAATAAGAAAATATATATTTGAAAAACAGTCTAGTAGATTCATGCATCATGGATCAGAATGGTTATAGAAGTGACTTGTTTACATGCATGTGAGTGCTTATAATAGAAGTTGTTTCACAGCACACAAGTAAAAAAAAAAAAAAAAAAAAAAAAAAAAAAAAAAAAAAAAAAAAAATAGTCTTTGCAAAAACTATGCTATAAGTTTGCTTTAAATGAACCTTCCATCCATTAAATTGGGATCCAGAGACTATTCAGTACTGATGTAAAATAAGTACTACAGGCTGGGAAATCCATACTCGTGGTGCCGAAGAAAACAACTGGATAAGGTCATATTTTTTTCAGAAGAGAAAGCTGATGGCTGCTCAGCAGTTGCTGACTCGTGGCAATGAATTAAGTGGTGTTAATATTTGAAACCATACTGACTTGGATTTCAGCTATTGATAAACACTTGAGCCAAGATGTTGGTGGGTTATGCCTTTATTGATTCAACATCCTCTGAGATTATTTTAGATGAAAATTGTTATTTATGCTGTCTGCAGACTAGTTTGAGGTAATGAAACTCAGTGCCAGAGATGGAACAGAACTGATAAATATCTTTAAAAAAGAAAACCCCTCACACGCTATTTTTATAGACTAGTAATGGGAGACTTTCTTACTCTAAACAAACATTCCTATTATCTAGCAAAATAATGTATTATATATTAATAAAAAAGTCACCTGCTCATGGAAGTCAAATAGTTTACAAGAAAAATCCTATAAATATACAATACATTATTTATCTGCAAACTTCCTCTGTTGTGCTTTGTTGTTTGTTCTGTTATTGTCTGGGTAGTATTTGCTGTGATATTTTCATTAATGACTTGGTATGTTTATTGACGGTTCTTCTCCTTTGCTTTTTTATAGGGAGTGAGCAGAAATGAAAGCATTGTCTTATCGCTGTATTAGGAGTTGTTTCTCTCTCACTTCTTTTAAGGGCTTACCCTTCTTAGTGCTTATTTCTTTGGAGATTAGATAGTAATTTTAGATGATTTTTATGCTTTAGTATTAGAAATCTGTGTATTTAGAATGAAGTGCAGCTATGGTAACTTATATTTTTATGTGAATTGGAGCAAAGATATTGATTAACAAATAATACGTTTACTTTATTTTCCATTCTTTATTTGTGCAGGTCATATTGAAGTTGTGAAATTACTTGTGGCCCATGGGGCTGAAGTGACTTGCAAAGACAAAAAATCTTATACACCTTTACATGCTGCTGCTTCCAGTGGAATGATCAGTGTGGTCAAGTATCTTCTAGATCTTGGAGTTGATGTAAGTAAACATAAGCTGAAAGAAGGTTACATAACATATCAGTTACTATACTGATCAAGATCAGAGAGCAGACACTTCTTTTCTTTATGAACAAGAATAGTTAGGATCAGAATAATGAAAGTGCTTCATGGGATTTTCACTCCATAAAACTTCACTTCAAGCTTTTTTCATAGAACTGAGAGGCAGGTTTGCTTTAAATAATAGTTTAAATAATAGTCCTGGCACTGGACTGGGATCCAGGAGACTGGAGTTCCATTCCTAGCCTTGCTACACATTTTCCAGGTGATTTGGGGGAAATTAGTTGATTTCTCTAACTTCACTTCCCAGTTTGTAAAGAGGGGATATTAGTAACTTTCTTGCATCACAGGAATTTGAGGGTAAATCATTGATTCTACTTTTATTTTTCAAAATGAGAAGGAAAAAAAAGCAAATATTTTGGAGTTTATTACAGAGCTCCAGTTGTGCATTAATGTGATACTAGTCATCTTCAACATTTTCAAGTACTTGGCACCCATAGTTTTTGCACTAGAAAGCTCTTCAGGTCCTCAGTTTGAGAGGAGGAGTTGAGTACATAGAGCTTCTGGTATTGTGTGGAGAATGGAGGACTCTGACATTTAGAAGAAGAATTAATGGGACACCCTGGCATGTGGGGTGTGCACAGCTACAGGTTTGGAGGAGACTTAGGACACTATTGTTGGTGGAGGGAATAGTATCTGACTCAGAGCTCTTGGCAGGGGATCTCTAAAACAGAAAGGGATGGGAGGGAGTCGCGCAAGACATTTGTGTAAAGGAGATGAAGGAATGAAAGGAGTTCTTGGCATATATAATATATGCTGCCTTCAGAAGCAGGTGTGGTACATCTAACTCATAATGCTGCAGCAAATGCTCACAGCTCTGAAAGGCTGGGAACTTGAATGAAACATTCCTGCACTACAGAGGCTTCTGGGTTTGTAGAATGAAGGAAAGAGATCCCAATATTTGCAATCTTTCTGACACCTACAGATGGAGGCCCCAGTTCCCAGTAATTAAATTGGAGATAAGAGTATCTTTTCTTAGAAAGCTTTAGTGTTCCATTCTAGACTTTTTTGATCAACAAGCTAAATCCAGAACCCATTTTAATGCAACTTTAAGCAGTATTTTAGAACAGCATGAAGGAGCTCTGCATAACAGCACAAGATGACCAGATGTTTTTTTTCTTCACAACAGATGAATGAACCAAATGCATATGGAAATACACCTCTCCATGTAGCTTGCTACAATGGACAAGATGTTGTAGTAAATGAACTTATAGACTGTGGTGCCAATGTAAATCAAATGAATGAGAAAGGTTTTACGCCTTTGCACTTCGCTGCTGCATCAACACATGGAGCATTGTGTTTAGAGCTTCTGGTCTGTAATGGTGCAAATGTCAATATGAAGGTAAGGAAATGAATTTAAAGTATTCCATTTTATGCTGAAATGCAACATATGGGTGTAACAATGAATCTGAAGAAATTTATCAAAAAAAGGGGGAAGGGAGATTATGAAAGCTTGGGTTTAGACCCCAGCAAATGACATAAATATAAAAAATCCATGATCTTAGCAGAGTCCAGTAGGAATCACAGTTGAAGTGAGTCATTTTGGAAGAATTTGGGGAGGCCAGGATAAATGGTTTTACTTGCTTTTTCTTGGAATGTTTGAGAAGCAAGAAGCAGCATGGAAGAAACTACAGAAGTATAGGTGAAATGTACAAACAGGCCAACAATGTTGGCAGCATTAGTAGAACAGTAATGATGAGGGTGATATAAGAAACTAGACTCTGATAAGTACAGATTGGATAGTTGTGAAGAGAAGGTAAAGAACAAAAATGTGTGCTTAATGCAGTGGGAGGAGACCAAGCCTCAGGCAGTGGGGTGACATGATCAGAAGCCTGGTTTGTTACTGTCATTTGTTTCAGTTGAACTGCAACACTGGGGAAAGGAGTTCTGTAATAGTTATTTTCTCATCCAAAAAAAAAGGGAAATTATCAGTCCATCTTGAACTTCATTCAATACTAAAGTTCAAGATGGTGACCATAATATTTTTCCTTGGAATCTTGGGTCGTCTTTGAACCTCTTGACGTGGAGGGTGAATATTTCTCTATTAGTGTTGTGCATTTTCATAAAAAGTATTTGAGAGTTGTGGTGTGCCGTTACTTTAGTGACACAAGATCCTACCTTTTAGCAGCCTCAGGGGACTTCAGCAAGGTCCTTGTACAAATAGAAGCCCACCTTACACCAACTACCATTGAGTTGTAATGATAGTTGGACATCTAGATAGTGAATGGCAGATTTTCCCAGCAGGTAGTACTGGACATTCAGATTATGCTGTTTCTGTTTTAGACCTTTTAAAACATGGATAAACAGATCCTAGTTAAGAGACTGGAGTTTCTAGGAGCCTCCCTGTTTATTCAGGGCCTACCTTCCCCTGAAGAGGTTCAAGAGCCACAGGTGGAGGCCAGCCTGTTAGCAGTGGTTTTAATTGATTTGCGATATGGTTTCATGCACCTGCACGATGTTACCTCCCAAATAATACCTGAGATGCATATGACACTAGCTTGGATCAACATATAACTTGGAAAGACAGTCTGCTACATATGGAAATATGAATTCCTAGTCCAGTTCTCTTTAATTTGGTAAAAGAATCCAGTAAGCACTAGCAAAGGAGTCTCCTGTCTAAGCTCTTTGACAATTTCCCCTCTGGGTGGTACAACAGGGGAACCAGCTTTGGGGGCCGGGTCTGTGACTGATTTTTCTCTCATCTTGTGAAGAAGGCCATCACTTTGAAAAAAATATCCCCATATGCATATTCTACATCTTGGTCCTCCAGCCTCTCTTATTTGGAGTCCCAGGCATTTTGTGATTCTTTAGTTTAGAAGAACCTGAAGAGTAGGAAGTATACACTGCCCTTTTTACTCTCAGTACAGACCACAGAGGTGACCATGGGGCATCTGTGCATACTGCTTAAGGCAATAGGTCTCCAGTTCATCTACACTAGATTTTGCACATGAACAATACAGCTTTAAGAACTCTTAGTTATTTTTTTCTTATCTGAGGGTCCAAAATGCCTTAGAAGTTTTAGACTAACACCTTAAAATCTTTTGATCTGGGGGAGCTAAAAACATCTTTTCTTGGCCATGAGAGCTACCAATTATTCTAAAAATAAATAAATAAATAAAAATAACCCCTTGAAAAGAAAATCAGAGCTGGCAAAAACATGGAGTGAAATTATTTAAAAAAACCCCCAAAAATCAAAATGCAAAGGGCAGTCTCTCAATTTGACAGACTGAGCAATTCTTGTATTCTACACGCTACTGAATTTCCCTCTTTTTATTTTTTTTCCTACTTGGCAACAACCTGCAATTTGTAATTTGAACGTAGAAACATGGGTTTTTAAGAGATCACACAGGTGAGTTAGTTCAGCCCTGTGCCCAAATGCAGTGTGCTATTCCTATACTACTTGAGACAATCACCCTCTTCTTGAAAACCTCCAGTGAAGGAGATTCTATAACTTCCCCGAGCAGTTTGTTCCACTATCTTGTTGTTCTGAGTGTAAGGAAATATTTTTGCTATTTACTCTAAATCGGCTTGCTGCACTTTACACCCATTTCTTTATCTTGCCCTCTTTTTGCGGGGGAGAATAGTTTTTGGAAGACTTTCAAATATTTGGAAACTGCTGTCATGTTCCTTCTCAATCTTATTTTCCCCAAAACTAAACAAACCTAGTTCTCTCAACCTTTCTTTCTATGGTTTACATTGCAACTCTTCTGTCATCTTTGCTGCTGCCCTCTGAATTTTCTCCAGTTTATCCCCATCTTTCTTGAATTGTAGATGGAGTAGTGTGGCTGAACTGAGTAGTGGGGTACTGTTGCCTTCTGTGTCTTACAGGGTATACATTTAATGCAGCCCAAAATTTCATTTTTTTCATGGTGACTGCATCACATTATTGTTCATGTTGAGTATCTCTTAAGCCAAAACCCTGGAATCTTCTTGGCAATTATTACTGCCTACCCAATTATCTCCTATTCTGTATCTGTGCGTTTGTTTTTTTTCTTAAGTAGAATACCTTGCATAGGCTCTGTATTTCATTTGTTATATAGCGCCCAATTCTCTGATCTAAGATCCTATTAAATTTTAATTCTGTCCTCCAAAATGTTTGCAAGCCCTCCCCAGTTTTGTGCCAGATGTAAATTTGATCAAGAAGCTTTCTCTCCTTTCCCAATCATTAAGAAAAATATTGAACAGCACCAGACCCAGAACAGATCCCTATGGTATTCGACTTGAAACTTGAGGCCTTCTTTGATCCATTTATATATGTACTTGAAGTTATTTAGCCAATTATGTATCCATTTTTCTCTTTGCTTTTGTACCTGCACATTCTTGCTGTTCTTCTATATGCTTCTTTAGTTACCTGCCCTCTTTTTATTCACTGTTTCCCTTTTAATTAAGTAGTCTTTTCTGTAGCCACATTGATCTTCTGTAGTGCTTTTTTCAGTATAGCTTCTTGTTGAACCATCAACAGCATATCCCTCATGAACTGCCAACCACTCTGAATCCTTTTATCCATCAATTTCCCTACCCATGAGACATTATTTATTATTTCTTGATTTGAAATCTGCCCTTCTTCAGTCTAGTTTCCGTATTTTATTAATCCTATGCATTCCTTTTCTTAGAATTATGAATCCTGTACTATTGTAATCACTTCTCATCAGATATTATATCATCCTTACATTTGCAACCTGTTCTTTATCAGTCAGAATGAAATTTAAGATGGATGAAGAAAATATAATACCTTTAAGAAATGCCTGGATGCTTATCTTGCTGGGGTGATGTGACCCCAGCTGACTTCCTGTCCCTTGGTCAGCAGGCTGGACCCGATGATCTCACAAGGTCCCTTTTGAGCACTAATGTCTATAAAATCTATGAAAATGCCATTAATCTATTTAATATAAAAATAGAAGATATGTACAGTTCATTTTCATACTTAAATGAAAACCTTACAATTTTAATGGAAACTTGCAGAAATTTCAGTTGATGAAAAGTTCATTGCAGTGCCACAGAAATTTTAAGGAACCCTGCTGTTGAATTTGATCTCTCGCTTGATGGAGAATACACAGGTCCTTATGTGTACTTCCCTTTCCATTTCTTTTTTTTTCATATTGCCAGCTTCTCACTTAATATAACACCCCAGTATATTTAGGACATAAACTTCTATTCCTTAGATCCAGCCTCAAAGGGTAAAGCAAATCTTCTATCCTGACTCTTCCTAACTAACAGTCTTTCTTGAGTAGTTTTGTATTTTTCTTTAAAATTTGATTTCAGATTTCATTTTTATTTAAATTCAGAACTCTGTGAACAAAATGTTAACTAAAGCCATGGTGTAAGTTGCAGTGGAGGTCGTGGTTGATGTAATGTAACTTAGCAGCACTTTGAGCTCAAATCTGTGCTTTGGGAAGCAAAAGTGAGAGGTGGGTGTACAGTTAGAAATATATTTGGCATGCAATTTTTATAAAGGATTTGTTAATGTCTAGGCCTTAAAACAATACAGAATAGTGTTTATCATATTCCTAGAATAATAGAAGCATAGGATTGTATTAAGGGTGCGCTGATAGAGTGGGGGCCAGTACCGGTACCTGATATTTAAGGAGGCATATTGACTGATAATGATTCAATTTCTGATACTGCTGCATCCAGCTGGTAAGTCTGGTCGGGTGGAAGGGGAGGGCAGAGGGTAGGAGCATGGGGGTGCAGATCAACGCTCCCTGCAGTGAGGGAGAGGGCGAGGCAGGCTCTGCCCAGTTGGGGCAGGGCAGGCATAAGATGGGGCCACAGCTTGTGGAGGGGGGCGGCTCCCATCTCTGCTTGTATCCTGGGAGGGCACAGAGGGGTGGAAAGGGGGGGCATGTGGCACCGGATCTGTGTGGGACGGGCAGGTGGGCGGGCTGATGCTGTGGGCTGGAGTTGGGGCTGTGCAGGGCTCTTCTCACCAGGAGCAGGCTTGGAGCAGGTGCTGGTGGCACTGGGAGGGGGCTGCAGCCACCCCAGATTTCACTGCAGCTCCACTCCCAGTGCTGCCACTGCCAGCTTCCCAGCGCAGCCCCGGGTCAGTGCCCCACCTCCACTCACATGCCAGAAAGAGCCGGAGATGCTTTTCTTCTATTTGGTTGCTAAAGAAACGGTGGTGCTTAAAACTAGGAATTCTGACCTAAAAATCAGAATATGGGATTGATTATTTTCTTTTAGACCCTCAAGCTATTTCCCTTAGAGTACTTTAAAAATCATATAATGGCTTTCCACCCAGACTGCAGTTTTATACTTTAGAGAGACAGAACAAGCAAAACAGAACTTACGGTACCTGATATCTGACTCGGAAACTTGAACACCCTCCTTTTACAAAAATGT